CACCAGAGGGCCAGTCAAAGCCCTGAGCAAACGACATGTATCTCTCCACATGCAGATCATCGAAGGATCTTTTCAAACACAGGAGACACGACAACAGTCCTGTCAGCTTTGATCTGGGCCAGCAGAGGTTCTGCCCTGCAGAGGAAATGAAGTGAACATTTTAAACAGCTCAGTTGGAGAAGATGCTGGACCTTTGTGTTTTGTGCGTACCATCCTCTTGTAGCTTCAATGTGAGCATCTAAAATGGCCACCACGTCTCCAGTGGCATGCTCCCAGCCGCTGATCCGGGACTGGGACAAACCCATCGGACTTGTGTGCCAGACTCTTTTAACAAGCCCAGGCCTTTCTTGGTGAATCTCATCTATGTAATCTTCCACCGGTTTCCCAAGATCGTCTGAAACACATTCCTGAGTCAGAAGAACGGGAACCAGTTCTGTTTGCTGTTCTTTGACATTTCAGCATTTTGTCTGTTAATCCCTAAAACCTCTGACCTACGACATCCTCTGTACACAATAAAAAATCCTGACATTTTGGAAGCGATTTGAATCTAGTTTGATGCTGGTGCCTGTTGAAGTGCAGATTTCATCCAGAGAAAAGATTGGAGCTGCAGAAGTAATAAGCTAAATATTTAATAAAGCTTGGAAGGAGAAGATGTTGGAAACTGAATGAAACCAAAAGCTCTGTAAATCTAATGTCTAAGCCACATTAAAAAAATATTTTACACACGGGATTAGTTTAAAAAAACATGAAAACGCTGCCAGCCCATAGGGGGCAGTGTAGAGCTAAGATAAAACCTATCAGCCAATCAGATTGTTTCAAAACAAAAACAATGTTCTGTTTGGAACTAAACATGGCGGTTCGTATATGTGGACAGATGTAGAAGTTTAAACAAATATAACCATAATAACACATAAGTCAATGTCCGTTGGGAATTAAGCCAAAGCAAGTCTGTGGATTTACTGGCACATTATTTGTCAAAGGTCCCAAATACAGAATTTTCTCAAGTCTGTGCTTTGAGTTTATATAGAAAATCATTTTTGGCAATATTAAACAGAGTTTTCAAGTGAATGAAATGCGAAAACAAATAAAATGTTTTTGTTTTCCCAGATATCAGGCTGTGTGTGAACTAGGCCTGAGAAGCTGAGGTGGAAGCGTCATGCTGTGGGGTGATGAACTGAGTTCTGTAACATGACCCAAAACGTTCCAGTAGATCCACAGAGAACTGGCTGGTAAAAACCCAGGCCTAGTCAAGCCCAGAGCTCATTGAGATGCTGTGACTCAAACATCTCAAGAAATGCAAGCTTCAACATTTGTCTTTAAAAAGTGTGAACTGGGCTCACTGTAGGTGCTGTGGTCGTCCACCAGGATGATTTCCCTCAGCAGGCGTTGAGGCGTGTTGGTGATGACGCTTCGCACCGCCCTCTTAATCACAGACAGCGCCTCGTTAACGTAGATCAGCACCACGCTGACGCTGGGCAGGGCTCGGGGTATTTCTTCTTCAGACATCTGGGTGTTGGTGGGAGAAGATCTGTGACTCCAGCAGCAGATGCGTCATCGTTTGTTGTTTTCAGAGACTCTTACCTGGGATCTCTCATGTCAGGAAGGGCGATCTGGTTGCTGAGGAAGGCGTTGTAGCCATAAATCCTAAAAAGAGCTTCGGCCTCCTTCTGCTCCTCGTCTGTCAGGCCGTCGCCCCACTTCACAAACAGCTCAGAGTTGGGGTACAGCTTCAGTGCCTTTTTGGGCCGGGTTTGGTTTTTATTTGGAGAAAGTTCATCTGGTGAGCTTTTCTTTTCATGTTTCTCTAGTAGATTTTCTTTTTGGAGGAAATATAAAACATAATTTACTCTCAGAAACAGCAGAAGGTATGCACTGTTTTCCTTCAGAGGCAAAGATCAGGCAATGTTTTCTAAGCACAAACCAACTGGGAGCAAATACAAAGAAAGAAGCTTTATGGATTTACTCTTTAAAGCTGCAGGATGTGACTTTAATAAAATTGATTTATATTGTTAAAACTGTCACCATGTTGTCAGTTTGTTATGAGACAAATCCATCTCCACCTCCTCCTGATCTGCTGCTGCCATCTGATGAACCAAAAACAACCAATCAGAGCCAGGAGGCGGGTCTTATTGCTGTCAATTATTCTCATGTACTTGCTGCTAAATGTGAACTGGCAGACAAACAACTCTTCTTTACAAAAGCCATTTTGCGCTGTCATTGGGGGCTTTGCTAACTGGCCTTGCAACAGCAGGAGAGTGATTGACGACACTAAAACCCGCCTCCTGCCTCTGATTGGTTGTTTCTAGTTAATGCTGTGAGAAGGCCGAGGAACACAGATTACCTGTCTCATAACAAACTGCCATTACATGGTGACCGTTTTAATAAATATGTAAAATCAAAATCGTTTTTATAAAAGTTACTCACTGCAGCTTTAACTGACTGACGGTTAAATCGGTTAAATTTTTCTCACCCAGCTTCTTTAGGCTCTCTTGAATCCTGTCCAGTTTTCGGTTCATGGTTTCCTGGTTTGTAACGTGTTTCTGATGCGGTTTTTTCTTCTCTCCACCTCCCAGTCATGAAGATAATTAGATACACCAAGAATAAAAAGCTCCAGTCACACCTACCTAAATAAGCCTTCATAGCTGTTCTTTAAATATGTTCAGATAAAATCAGTGTCGTTCTGTTCCATGCAGAAACTCCTCGGCCGCTCAGCTCCAGTTCAGACCATAAAACGCGTCTTATCTTATAGATAATATTAACTTGCAGGTGGACTTTCAGTGAGCCGTTTACATTCTGTAAATGGGAACATTAGCAGCCGCAGCCTGGGACTGAGATTTAAACTCTCAAAATGTAACTCCTGATTGTTTTATGGGTTTAGAGTAAACAGTCTGTATTTACATGATTTTATGTTTCTCGGATAGTTCTGCTTTCCCAGAATGAAAAAACAAATATTTAAAAAGCCCAGACAGATTGGCACAATACAGGGCAAATTAGGATTCAAATGACATCATATAAATGTTTGCAGCTTTAAAATGTTCATTTAAACACAAACGTCTCATATGAACAAATACCTGTCATTTTTGTTTCCAAATGTTAAAGGATTTCTCAAACATGGATGAATGAATCACTGAAAGGATCCAGATGTTTTTGATGAGCTAATAAAATTATGAATAACTGGTTTTACAGATCAGATCAAAACTTTTGTCACTGAATTTTTAAATATATTTAAACTTTCATATTATAGAAAATGAACTTAATGTGGCTTTTGACTAATTAAACTAATTTCTTTAGACAGCAATAGCAGCTCAGGGATCAATCTTTTTTCAGATTATCTGCCTCATAACATTTAATAAAAACATTTTTATCATAAAGTTACTTACTGCAGATTTAATGCCAGAAAACAAGAAGGAAAATATAGTTTTAAATCTTTTATAGATTTTGAAAAAGCCTTTGTCTTAATTGTGAATCAAATTCATATGAAATTCTTTAATTCTGTAAAAGTTATTAATCAAATCCAGAGTTATGTGTCCAGCTGAATTATAGTGAAGACAGAAACACCAGTGAGGATAATTCTTTATTTATGTACAGAATACCGCTACAGGAAGCTGAATTACACGGCGAGCCGCCGCGCCTCAGTAGTTGACCGTCTTGGCCGGCTTGGTGTCTTCCAGATCGGCATCCAGGTAGCGGTAGCGGCGGTGGCGGCGCAGGATCTCGATGGCCTTCTGCTCCACAGAGGAAGCCGTGATGCCCAGATCCTCCAGACCAGGAAGTCCAGGATACTTAATGTCTGTCGTGTGAAACTGGACGGAAACCAAGAGCATTCTGTTTAAAGACGTCGAGCCGAGTTTCTCTAACCTTTCAGTTAAATATTCACAAACCTCCTCACTAAAAATAACAACAACTTAATATCCACCTGAATGAAAACATTCGTCTCTATTTGATCATACGGACGTGTTGCAGTGTGACGTCAAATCCCACCCCGACTTCCTGCTGGGGGGCAAAAACCTGCTAGCTAATGATGACTAGCATTGGTTTTAGCTGTTCAGATGTCAACATAATATGTTAATTCTTAAATACACGCCTGAAATGGAACACAAAGGGACGCAGTGCTTTTCTACTAATTGTCAACACTATGACAACTAGACAACAATGTCAGGCAAAAGTTTTAATTAAGAAAAGAAATAACCAGGGAGAGGGTAGTTATGCTAGCTTGACTATGAAAACCTTAACATGTAGATGTGCTGTGGAATTCTGATATTCGGTTCAGTTAAAAAGAATTAAAAACGGCGACCAAACCACTGACTATAGCAGGAGTTTAAATTAATTAATCAACCACTCCCATGTTAGCTTAGCTAATAGCAGCAGCAGCTAATCTGTCACAGCGATCACGTATTAATAGTCACAAAAGTCTAAAAACATAAAACGGACTGAATGTTCTGTTCTTTGTGTGGGAAATGAAGTGTTTTTGGTGTTGAATCCTGATACACTAGTGGAGCTGTTGTCAGTCAGTTGCTATGGTAACGGGTCGGTATAGCATAGCCTACCCGTGGCTTTGTGTTCTTCACCCGTTTTTCTGCGTTAGTTTCCCTGAATTCATAACATCTCCAGGTTTCTTTAGTTAGTTCTACTGCAGCAGCATCAAGACTCTGGTTTTGCCTCCAGCGTTGAGCGAAGGAACAAATTCCCAGAGTAAACTACAACATGCAACGTGTCTCAGTATTCCTGCTGTTGTTTTCTTCCTTTCAGTATCTTCAGCTATTCTTTTGGGTGATCTGGTTTTAAGCTGCTAATTCATTATTATTTTTGAACATAATTTTTTTGTAAGCTAATTGTTGCATTTTGACCTCATGTCACGGCAAATAAAAGGTCATTTACATGCAGTATAGTGCAAATCGCTGGGGGACCTGGGGGCCACAATTAGAGGAAGACAAATTTAAATTAAAGTTTAAAAAATACATAAACTTTGAGTTTAAACATCTTCATCGTCTCACCTGTCGATTTGTCCGGGGTCGTCCAGGGTTCAACGGGTTCATAGCAAAAATCCTGGCAACCAGGCTGAAAGCAGACAGCAGTCGCTACGTCAGTCGCTAACAGCAGCAGAGTTCAAGCTGACATTCAGGTTTCAATGTCAGCCTTTGTTCTGATCAGTGACATTAAACAAACACTCCCTGCAGAAGAATGGAGATGCTTACTGGTAGAGCGGGCGTGGCAGAGGGTAGGGTATAAAGGGCCGGTGCGCCACGCCGTAGACGTACTCCACAAGGTCGTGAAGCAGGTAGCGGTTCGGCCTGCAGGTCAAACACAGGCAGGTAACAAGAATCAGCTGCAAAACAGCCCTACGGCAAGCCGATGTAGCACAAAATCAGCTTCACTTGGTTACAGATTCATGAAATGAGTTTATGACAATTTCTATTGTCAAAGTATTTTAAATGTGTTCAGAATACCACAGAATGCATTTGTCATAACTATTTGATAGTTTTTAATTTAATATTAAATTAAATTAATGCATTGGTTAAATTACAGTTTTTATGCACAAATTAGTTTTGTTTAAATATAAACTGATGGAATCATAGAATTACTTTCAATACATTTTCTGTTTACATTCTTTTCCTCTTCACAGAATCTCTGCTCTGTTTGAATAGAAAAATGAGTTATAAACTGTAGTTACAAATGTTAGTTATAGATGTTATTTATACTTCTAAATTAAAAATAGTTAGAGTCAAATTGTGACCCTAAAAATCAGAAGCGACTCACTGATAGATTTGCTTCTCTGATTATATTCTGACTATAAATGATGCCAGATTAAGATGCCTGCAACAAATGACTGACTATGTGAAACATATTTCAGATAATTAAATTATAACCATAAAGTACATTAAAAATTACAAATATTTTAAATATATTTTAGATGGGAGATATATACTTCAACTTGTGCAACAACTTGTCAAAACTAACTCAAATATGTATGGAATTATAATTTTGACAACTCAAAATGAATTTCTCCAAATGAATTAGATATTCAGGAAAATCTTTTGTAAATTTAGACTTTTTGTACTTCAATATTTCCTCTTACTATTCAGAATATAAATGCTGAAATCTGAAATGATCATTCAGTAAATAACACCGATTTTATGCTAAAACTGCCTGCCATAGAGCAGCCTATATGAAACCATAACAGATGAGACTGGTTTCCAGTCAACCAGGAGGATGTTCTGTTGTGTTAAAATACTTTAAACCAGAAGAACTGCCTGATCAACTTTATGTTATTATTTCCTTATTATTTCTCTAAAATGAAATAATGAAGAAATCATAAATTTGGATCTAATCCGAGTTGATTGAGCTTCTGGTTATGTGCTAAATTATTGGACATAATTGTTTCAGTATGATTTTCAAACCCAAGAACATTTCCACTTTTTGTCACATTTACTGAATCATTTCTGTAGCAAAACATTTTTATCTGATCTGATCAGAGTTTCGTTTTTCATGTTTGTGGTTTTAAAATAACAAAAAGTGAAAATTCAGGATATATGGAAACTTTTGCAGAACGTCATATTTCACCCCACATCAGAGACTCGGCAACGTTCAGAGAGTTGAATTTAAGATCAACATAAATCACAAAAAATAGCTTAAATACTAATATCTGCTTTCATTTAATTCCTGAAACAAAAAGTCCAATAAAGCAGCAGAATTTCTTCAAACTGGTTCTGAGAACCTGAACCAGAGCTACGGAAGCAAATAAATGCCAAAAAACACACGAAACAATATGAAAGAACAGAAGTGAAAATTTTACATAAATGTAATTTTGGAGCTTTGCTGAAGATATTAGAGATTGTTTGTTACCCAACGAGGGGCGAAAGTCTTTCCGTTGGCGTCTGGTCTCTCACCGCGTTGACGATCGCCTTGGCAACGTCCACCACCTGACGAAGAAA